AACATACTGGTAGAAAGATACAAACTATTAAAAAAAACCAGACCCCATAAAAGAGGAGGTGGAGTTGCACTGTATGTAAAGGACCAATATATTGCTACAGAAATGCATGAAACCCAAGATGAAAACCACCTAGAATGCATATGGGTCAATATAAAAGAAAAAAAAAGAATGACATGGCCATAGGTGTATATTATAGGCCAGGGGTCTCCAACCTTGGCAACTTTAAGACTTGCGGACTTCAACTCCCATAATTTCTCAGCCAGTTTTGCTTTAAGACTTGTGAACAGCTCTGCTGGCTGAGGAATTCTGGGAGTTGAAATCCAGAAGACTTAAAGTTGCTAAGGTTGGAGACCCCTGTTATAGGCCACTCAACCAAGCAAAGAAAATAGATGACCTTTTTGCCAACCAACTAACAAACATATGCAGGTAATACACTACAATACTAATGAGGACTTCAATTATCCTGATATCAATTGGAAAACTAATCCTGCACCAAGTGAGAAATCAGATAGGTTCCTAACCAACCTAGATGACAACCTTGTTGTCCAAAAGGTAGAGGATGGAACTAGAGGGACAGCCATACTGGACTTAATTCTTATAAACAGAGAAAAAGTGAGGAGTTGAAATTGCAGGAACCTTGGGTGAGGGTGTCATACTAGAATTCAACATAACGCAACCACAAGCAATAGATCTTAATTGTTCTGCTTGTTAATGTTTGGATGGCATAAAGCAGACAGATCAACTCCACAAACTATCCATACAAAGTTTTTTTAATTGGTTCATCAGGCATCCTGTCAGCTCACATTTATGACGAGGTTCTTCTTTATGTCCAATCCTTTGCATATCTGAATTGTAGTGTAGAAAGATAATAATAAACCAATGCTCTGCACATCCTATAGATGGCCTATTTAAAAATGTAGCATGTGTTCCTGACAACAATGAAATGCAGTTTGTACAGTTTCTTTGATGATTAACTACTACTACTACTACTTAGATTTCTAATATATCTGGAGATAGCTACATCCATGTTTTCCTTTTTTACCTTCTTTTCCTGACTAAAGCCTCTTAGGCACAGAAGCAGTTTCATCATCATTTGCAGTTGTTTTTTTAGAAATTATTTTCTACTCTCCTGAAAAAAAAAAAGTTTCTGCAGTCCAAGCTGATACGGTTAAATGAAAATACTGGATGGCGCTATTACTTTTTCTATTACTGATGAGTCTTGACTGGTGATTTTCTTTGACCGTCAACAAGTCAAAGGGAGGGAAAGTAGCAGGGAACATATCAAGTCAAGGGCATGCGGCAGGCCCATCTGTGAAGAGTCCCATATAATATCGTGTTTCCCTGAAAATAAGACTGGGTCTTATTTCCTTTTGGGCCCTGAAATATATATTCCATATAACATGATGTGACTTAGGTGAGCCATTTCTGCCGAGGCATCTTTCCACCATCACTCCTGAAGTGGGATTAGCCCCACACTTTGTTGCCTTCTCCAAACCCCTTAAAAAGTGACTTTTTAAAATCAGATCTGAGGATCCCCTGGTGGTTGGAAGCCCACGTTGCTTGTATTATGTATTATCTCCTGCTTGTGATTTTATGTTCAGTATTTTAATTGGTTTTGTAGTAAGCTTTAATACTGTGTTTTATTGTACAATACCCAGAGTCACTTTGTAAAAGATGGGTGGCTAAATTAGTTAATAAAACAAATATTCAATGATCAAAGTTTCGCAGCAGAAATGAGAACTCCAAAATTCTGAGTTCTGTAGCTGGTTTTTCTATTCCTCTTCCTCAACCCATCTGGGCAGTTCTCAGGTTTAAAATAATGTGAATAAATGAAGTCAATAAATGGCCAAAATAACCCAGAAAGGGGGAGGCAGGCTCCTCTTACAGATTGGAGAATTGACAATGTCTGGTATCTGGAAAAATACTCCTACTTCAAGAGGAAGGGGGAAAGCAACTGAAATAGAGAAAAACTTTAAGTGGTATACAAAAACACACACACACAAAAACACCGGGTCCTCCCTTAGGCACAAAGCCAGAGCTGTGCCCTTGGGTCAAGTTATTCTCTTTCAGCCTAAGGAGGAGGAAGCGGTAACTCACTTCTGAAATCTGTTCCCAGGAATCAACAATGACTTTGAAGGTGTGCTCATGCATGCGCACACACAAATTCATTACTCAAAGACCAAAAATAAAATTCTAATGTAATAATAACAATTCTAACAGCAAGGAATTGTGGATGCCCTAGGATGGAGGCTGGCCAGTGAATCAAAGGAAGGGGGCATGCCACCCACAATTCTCCAGCACATCTCTTCTGCCAGCTATAAGAAATCAAAGGGGTACCTTAGGGATGGGATTCTACCAGTTCGTACCTATTCACTAGAACCGGTTGTTAACATTATAAGCAGTTAGGAGAACTGGTTGTTAGAAGAAATTACTGGCCTAATCCTATAAGGAAGGCAGGAAGGAAACATTCTGGTGTTGCTTACAGAAACTGCCTCTCCACTAACCCTTATTACATTCTTGGCAGGACTAGTTTTCATGTCTCAGGAATGTCTCTGCAGGTTTTTTTCCTCCTTTACTGGTACTTTGTTTGTGTGGAGTGACCATTCAAAGTTACAATGGCACTGAAAAAAGTGACCTATGACCATTTTTCACACTTAGGACTGTTGCAACATCCCCACAGTCATGAGAGGCCAGGCGACCAGATGCGTGCCTCAATGTCAGTGATGTTGAGTTGGCCACGCCCAGCCAATAACATGACCAAGCCACGCCTGCCCAGTCACATGACCATCAAGCCACGCCCACCTCTTAAGCTACACCCACAGAACCCATGGTTAAAAAATTTGAATCCCACCCCTGGGGCACTTCCAATACAACGGGTGACAAATTATAAGAGATTTTTACCCATCTTGAGGCAGTTTGCCAGAACAAAGTACATCCACTACCGGTGAGCAAACCTGTTTCACTTAAGGGCAAAATGTTGTATGACATGCCATCCCAGGCATAATTTGTCTATGGCCAAGCCACCATTATGTTCTGGTTAGGTGGAAGAAGAGACTAGAGGGCCTCGGCTATAATGCGGTTTATTGGTCTTGGCTTGAGTTCTCCAACCTTAGGAACTTTAAGACTTGTGGACTTCAACTCCCAGAATTCCTCAGCCAACT